TCTTTGAGAATAATATTTGGAAGTTAGCCTTTAATGGGTTAATTTCAGATAAAGCGATGCTTTGTTAAATTACCACTTCTGAGTGCTTACCTTGTACCTGTTGCTGTACTAAGCATTTGATTTGTAGCAAAGTCCTTTAATTCTTATTACTTATTGACAAGTCCTTTTTCCCTGTTTCACAGATGAGAAAATTGATACTTGGATAGGTTAGCTAAGATGAAGTAGGCAGTAAATGATAAAGTCAGAACCCAATCTGATCTTATCTATTCTGTACACTCCCATCCAGTTCTCGTAAATATTCTTAAGAGTTTTAGGAGATAAGAAATAGGACTCAAATCAATTGACATATTGAAAGTAACTAAAATACTGAAGGCATATGATATTCCTTTATAAAATCACTCAGGAAGGTAATATGTAAGAGATATGATATTTATTTTAACCACATTTTGATTGGAAGGCTATGACGGGGGAACCCACATAAAATACTGTTGAAATGCAGATTAAATTTCAGTTATTCCTCTTGTTATTAAATTGGTAAGGAGATGTTTCTCTGTAAGTGGTTGTGCCAGGAGTATGCACCTTGCCTGGCTATCTACCATGTCAATCTTAATTACATAATAGAGGCAGGCAGGGTGAAGGGAGCACTTGTTGGTTCTGTCTCACTATATGGAATACTGAGTAATGAGCTAGAAAAACTATGTAGATCTGATTTTTAGATCGTCTCTTTTACTTTCTCTAAAGGAGCGTAGATTTTTTTTTAGAAGAGAGATACCATTTTCTATATAAAACTCCTTATATAGCTCATTGACGAGGCGGAGAAGCAGATGGCTCTTAGTCAGAGCTGGTGTGGATTCTGGGTTTACTTTGTGAGCTTGGACAAGTTTCCTAGTCTCTCCTACCCCAGCTTTCTCACCTTGAGAGCTGAGATCATAATACCAACCTCACCAAGTACACAGTTAATGGTAGCCTTCCCCTTTCCACCTCCCACCACCGTTTCCCATTCAACAGAGTTATTGAGATGTTCTTGTAGTATAGGTCCTTTATTATACACTGGAGTCTGCCAAGAGCTCAAAGAGAGAGGCAAGAACATTTAACCCACTATCTGCAATGCCTGTTAATGACAGTGTGATGGGACAGCTAGCGCCCTGTGGATGCTGAGGAAGCATGAAGTATGGAGTGAGTCCTTGTTTGGGGGTGAGTGAGTAGCAGTGTTCATTTTAAATATCTTCTGTGTTTCATGGTCATCTTGTGTCTGGTGAACTTTAAACCTTTGTATTTTATGGTCAGAAGATGTAGCATTCTTTACAGTGTTCCCTATCAGAAAGGAACTGGTTCTGTGAGACTGAAATCATCTGAGAGCATGCCGTATTGTCGGTTGGATCGTAGTTCACAGGCTTGTGAATTATAATATTTATGGAGTACCTAAGATGTGTCAAAACCTGAGGAGACAAGAAACATCCTTGCCTTTTCAGAATCCATGGTCTTGGAGAGGGTAGATAGGGCAGGCATGGGCACAGAGAGCGTGATACTCTCCTGTTGGGATGGCAGCCTGATATTCCACTGGTCCCAGTGTATTCCTGATGTGTTATACTGTTTTCTAACTTGTGAAATAAGAGTAATTGTGAAATCATCCTTTGATAAGATATTAAGGCCCTTTGGGAATGCTGTCACATTTATCCAGTCATCCAACCCTAATTCAAAATGACTCATCGTCATTATAATGCCAGTCTTGCTGAATTTGACAGCAGTTCTCCGACCAAGTTTGTGAAGTGTCATGTTTGGTGGGTAAATTGGCAAGTGTGAATTTTCCTCCTCTTTTTCTGAGGGCTGAAGACATAGCCTTTGCTTCTAAAACTCTATACCTGTCATGGGTTGATGGAAACATCATAAGCTCTGACCCTGTTGCTTTGCTTTGTCACTCTTCCAGTCTCATTTTCCTCCATACCCTTGTTTCCTAACCAGTGGTGAATTGGTGTTAATCATTCGCTCAGTAATTACTTCCTGTATATTTATGGTGGGGAAAGGGATAAAACTGAGACAAGGAGGCATCCAGGTGGGTCAGTAATTTGCAAGCCTTGGTACACTACGCTTTGGTGCAACTTCAGAGTATTACTCTTTCAATATTTGCTCATGACATTTTTGAGAATCTGAGTTCTGCATGAGAGAGAAGGTGGTAACCAAATAACCCCTCTAGTCCAGGCTGCCAATTCCCAGGATCTCAGCTGCACAGAAAAAAAACAGCAGACTCCTTATCTGTCTTCCAACCACATTCTGTACTCTCCCTGAGAAAAGTTCTGGTAGATACTATTTTCATTTAATCTCATTAAGCTTCCAAAGATGTTTTAAACACCACATTGTTAAATCAGTATTTGGAAGCTGCCTTAATAGCCAGGTTCTTAATCTAGCCCTAGAAAGAGGCGGTGTGATTGATCCAGGGGATATAGATAAATAGGATACAGCCCCAGTCCTCAAGTGCCTCAAAGAGGCAGTAGCTTAATATATACACTGTGAAACCCTGGGAGAGAACTATTAGCAAAGTGTTGTAGGAACACAGATGGAAGGAAGAACAGGAAGAACAGTGGATTTAAACTGTTGAGGGCAGGGTGTTTTACAGAAGTGATTCATGTTGGTGACATCAGGGTGGGATAGATGGTAAAGTGTCCCTCTTTTAGGTACATCTGGAATTCATAGTTTGACCTTTTCAAATGGATGAAAATAGGATACACTGATTTTATATAACCTAAAGCCTTAAGTTTACAGAACTGTACAAGGCAAGATGGTATTGTAGGGATTCTTCCCCTATCTGACCTATAAAATGAGATCAAATGAGCATGCAAATTCTTGACTTCTTCTGAAATATGAAAAGGAAATTTAAGGATTCTATTTAATCATTCCTAAAAGACAAATTCCCCCAAATAGAAAGTAAGTTAGAGTTTCTAAATTTTTATAGTAGTTCTCTGCTTTATTACAGAGGGCTTTGTTTTGTCAGTCTCCACTATCTCTGCTAAGGAAATAAGAGCATCTTGATTTCTCAGTTTTCAAGTAAAAATGTTGGGGGCTTTTGCTTTTTTCTCTGAAAGCTGATTGTTCTCTATTGTTCCTTATCCACAGTCACTAGGGAGTGTTCCTCAATACTCCTCTTTGGGAGTATTGTGAATGCAGCTCTTATTTGCAAAAGGGAATGCTCAGTGTAGGCTTGTCATCTCCAAGTCATCCAGAATTACATTTTTTAGGTTATCTTGGAGTCAATTTTTTAAGTTAAAATGTATGTCACGCCAAGAATCTCTCCCGAGTCACTAGATCTCATTTTGCAGGTCAGACAGGGCAAGAATCACTCAGTCTTGCCACTGAGGAGAGAAAATGTTTTTGAGGGGATAGTAATGCCAGTTTTATAATACTCATTAGCATAGCAAGCTGGAGAACCCCTGATGCCAGCAGCCCGGCACAGCAGCTGGGCCTGTCAGAATTGCTGTGACAATCCAGTCCTGATTTTATCCTGCCTAATATGGACTATTTATTCTATTCTAAGAAACATTGCCATTTAGAATTTTCACATTTCATTCTCCAACTTGTACTTTTGTTTGCTGCTGCGGAGGAAGAAAGGCAAAAACTTTTTTTTCTATAATTTCTAAAATTAGTTTGAAGGATTTAGTTTTAGCTTGGCTAAAGAAACTGAGCTACATTTTGTTGTTTTTATTTAACTTGACAGCAATGGCTTCCCTCTGACATGACAAGTTGTCATTAACAGAGAGCTTTCATTAAGTTCTACATTTATATCTTTTCAGCAAATATTCCTCTGGTTTAGATAAATGTTAAGTAGAATAGAGGAATGAAGCTGCATGCACCCCAACTCAAAAAAATAATGCAAGAATAGATCATTTTTTCAGGTATGGAATTAGCAGAGATATTTGATGATGATTCTTACATCTGGTGGGAGTGCTAGTCATATATTGTTTATAGGAAAGAAAATTCATATAACCTTTTTAGGAAACAATTTGATGCCTTGAAACTCATGTTCTTTGACCCATTACTCTCACCTTTGGAAGTCTATGCAAAGGAAAATCATTTGAAGAATACAGAGATGTTGGGGCCTCCCCGGTGGTGCAGCAGTTGAGCACTGGGTTTGCGAAGCTGCCCACAGCCTCTGAAGCACCGGTTCAATCCCCGGATGCTGGGTGAGGGTCCCACATGGCGCACAGACCTCTCCTGGGGCCCGCTGCTCCCCTCAGTGGTGTACTTCGTCAGTCTGCCTGCTTTTCTCTCCCCTCTAGCTCTGGTGAATTCTCTCACCCTCCCGCACTTCTGACTGTACCCAGTGCTTGTATAAATAAATAAATAAATCTTAAAAAAAAAAAAAAGAATACAGAGATGTTTATAGCACTAATAGTAATAAAAAGGGAAAATTTAAGATTCAGTAGGGAAATTATTTTGTAAACTATGACATATCCATGTGTGATATATGTAAATATCATCAAAAATGTTACTTAGGAACACTATGTCATAGAGAAATCCTGTTAAATAATAAGAGGTCAAAAAAGTTGTGTCATTGAATTTGACAATAACATACTTGTGTATAACTAGCAGCAATGAATAAAAATTAAAAAAAACAAAGAAACCAGAAGAAAACTATCCCAAATATTTAGTCCTCATCCCCCATATTTCCCATATTACATCATTTATAAAATGAGTGATTGCTCAGATATAACGCTTATTGCACTTTTCATTAAAAGTTGAGTATGTTATGCCTTGTGAATGGCTGTGGCGATGAGATTAAATGTATAAATTGTGACTGATTTGTTTCTATCCTTGGGTATGAGTGGACACATTTTGTGAATCGTCAGCAGATGATGTTTAACAACACATTTTTAAAAAAGTTATCTTTTGCATGTTTCATAAAGTTATTACAGATGTTGGAAACTTTAGAATCACATAAGTGGATGAATTGTCTTGCAGTCCTGTGATGCATAAAATATAACAATATGTTTATGATTTCCCTTTAGGATTTTTTCAAATAGAAACTAATTGCAGCGTTTCCAGTGGACCAGCATTCATAGGGTAAGATTAACATTTTGAATTGTGAACACATGGTAAAGATAATTACTATTACATTGGTAGCTTGGGGCAAATAAATATTGAATACTTAGTATGTAAAAGAGATTGCTATTTTATAGACATTTTGAATGAAATCCTTTTGATGTTTTTAAACTAGTTAGTAAACAGAAAATTAAGTCTATACATTTCAGTAAAATGTCATCTTCCTGTATTTTCTTGATTTTGTATATAGAAACTTATATGTGTATATATGTTTGATATTTGTCATTTTCTTAACATCGAAGATCTAAAGCATATGATCAATATCTGTGAGAGACTTAAGACTCCATGATCCTCTATGTTTTTCTAATTTTTGATGAAGGTGGCATTTTTAATGCATAGAATCAGTTTGCCAGAGTTCCATAAATAAAAGATGACCCTGCTTTCCTCGAGTGCATAAGTCAGAAATAAACAAACCCTTATACTAGGTTGCCTCCTGAAGACATCATTCATCTTTTATAATCGTGGAAGATTTAGCCTAAATTACCTCTGTAGCAGAGCTTTTGACTTTGATACCATGAATGATTAATATGGACATTATGTTAAGTAGCATGACTTTCTAGTGTCATGAATACGAGGTATGTTGTGGAAGTGTGACACACGTACAGTCCACATGAAATAGTAGAGAGGACAGTGGATCTGTCCCCTACTATATCTTTGACACCCTTATAGATGAAGGTGTTGATCCTTTGAATTCTTCAGTATGTCCACATATTCCTACCAATTCATTGAGTTGAATATGATTTTTTTTAAAGCTAGTAACAAATCAGCTACTCCTCCACTTAAGACTCTTCATTGACTTTTCCATTACTCCTGGACTACTTAATATGTAAACTCTCTTGGCTGCAGGCCTGCTGTTACTCTTCAACTTTCCCCAAGCCCTGAATATTCCAGCAGGGCGGCCTCCTTTCTGATGCTCACATATACTAAGCTTCGTGTTCCCTGGCCTAGAACAATCTTCCCTAATATCTTTGCCTGACTAACTCAATTTATTTTTTTTTCAACATTTATTTATTTATGCATACAAGAACTGGGGTACAGGCCAGAGGTATGGCGAGTGAGAGGATTCGCCAGAGACAGAGTGGGAAACAGAACAGGCAGATTGACTGAAATACACTGCTGATGGGAGCAGCAGGTGAGACAGGAGAGCTCTGCTTCACCATGAGGGTATTTCCCTGGCCGGGGATCGAACTCGTGCTGCAGTGGCTGCAGACAGCCTCATAGGTTGCATCTCAACCCCTTGCGCCACCAGGGAGGCCCCCATAACTCGAATTATATCTCTATTCTAACACAGAAATGTTCTGGACTAAATTTGTAACTCAGTTTATAAAACCTTGTTTATTTTATTAAGACCACCTAGTATTAAGTAGGCTACATGGCCAGAATCAATGCTACCAAACTCCCAGTTCTTTTCAAATAGGAAACTTAGCCATCACCCCGATGCTCTACTACCCTAGGACCCTAGAGCACCTCAGAACTTTAGTTTCCTTGCTTGTAAAGAGTTAAACTCTGATCACTATAGTTTCTTCCTGGATGAAGTACTCCATATGATTTTGTGAAAGATCAAATTAGGAGAAACAAATCGAATGATGATTTCTGCCATCAGCCAGTCTTTTGAAAGAGACTGCACGGGGACTGGGTTCTGCTGTGCTCCTTACTATGGGGTGATGGGAGGAGGACAGGAACACACACTTTCATAAACCATGAAAATGGCAGAGAAGGGTTTGAGGTCACCTTTTTTAAAATAAAGAAATATTCCATCATTTCTCTAAGTCTCCTTTTTTTCAGTAGTTAACTTATTTTATTGATAGTTTGCCTTCTGCATACACATTCTAAGAATTATATAGCCAGTGGTGGTGTATGCTCTGGTGTTAATATAATAATACTGTGGCTGCCACATCTTTTATCTTAAATGTATTCTAGATAATTTGGTAACTTAGTAAAAGTATCAAAGAACTGAAAGGTCTTTTCCTTAAAAAGAAAATTACCATCTAAATTAAATATATGTTGTATTCCATAACCATCCAAAACTAGGGAAAGTTTCTTAGCATTCAGAACAATTCAGATTTAATTAGGATTTCTAGAATCGCTCCTACGGTTTTAATTGTCGTATTCAGTAACTTTCTCCTGGGGCTTCAGTTGATTAGGGTAATTTTCCTAATATTTAGAATATTGCTGATGATTGTTCACAGAACCATTACCACTCTTCAGCTTTGGAACAGAAACCACAGAGCAGCGGTTACATGTTTTGTTATCCTTCGGTTTCTCTGTTATTGGCTATGATGTCAGATGCTTTCCTTGAAACTCGGTAATTTCTGTGCTATGGAAACACTGCTTCTCCTTCACCTCATTGACCCTGCTTCTCTGCCTCGCTGCACTCTTCCTTGTCTGATAGTTTTTCCTCTTTTGTTGTATCTCAGGAGAGATTCTATCAAATGTGTGGCAGAAATGGTATGGAGTAATTTCTAAGGATGGACCTTAGATCTGTAGCTTCTGCTTTTGTGTGCTTGCAATATTCCTTCTCAGCCACCTTGCTGTGAGGAGGCTTGAAGAGCCTTGTGGAGGAATGGCAAGGACCCTGGTCATTAGCCTACACTGAGCTTCCGGACAGCAGCCAACCCAAGTGCCTGCCCTGTGATTGAGGCATTTTGAACCTTCCAGCCACCCCATGTTCCAGCCAGCACCACGTGAACCAGAACTGTCTCATCATCCCTCAGAATCATGAGAAATGATGAATGGTGGTTTCGGCTGCCAAGTTTGGGCATGGTTTGTTACATAGCAATAAAGAACCAAGCAAAAATTAGTACTTAGAAGTGGAGGCTGCCCTATCAAAACATCTGGAATTTACTTTGAGACCCGGTGGCAATGATGGCCTGAAGAGAAGTAAGAAGACTTTTAAAGGTAGCTGAAAGAACCATGAACAAACTGCTATTAGAGCATATAAAATGATACTATTGTTTTATAGGGACAGAAAAAGTGACAGGACTGACAGGTCTGTCAGTAACACAGAAGAGAGAACATGGACCTAACAGATTTGTGGATCTAGCTTAGGAGATAGATGTTCCTGCAGAACATTGTAGTGCCAGTTAATCTTTTTTAAAACCAGTTATGACCAAAGTATTTCAAGAAAGAGATGAATTAAAGAAGGAACTATTCAGATTTTAAGTAGACTTTAAAGAATGCTTCCAACCCAGAATTTTCTAGGATTTCAATTTCACAGCTCCTCTACACAGCAAAAGCTGCTCAAAGTAAGAAATAGTCTCAGGTTGAAATATAAGATCCAGAACACTCCTGCCAATGAAATCTGGTCTCAAGGAACAAATAAAAGTCAGGGCACAGCTGCAGGGCCCTGTCTTAAGACATCAAAAAGATTTAAAGCTGTCCCTCCTCAGTGTTCTCAGCTAGCTAGAAGGGCTTCTGAGAATTTTATGGTGGTGTCCCATAGCTCCCTTTAGATTTAGGTGATAAGATCCTGGACTTCAAGCCTTACCTTGAGGACTTAGTGGGATGAAAGTTTTGGGAGACTTGGGGCAGGGTGAGTGTATTTCGCATGTTGGAAGGATATAAATCATTTGTGGGCAAAGAATAGTCTGATGAATTAAATGGCTGCACATTTTCTTGGTGTCCTCTTGAATCTGGGCTGGCCATGTGACTCCTGTGACTGATGGTATGTAATGGAGATGACATATAGTTTTGAGAGCTGTACCATAAAGGAATTACAGTTTTCACGTCTGTACTCAGAATTCACCACCTTACCATGCTATGTGAGGGCACACAAATAGCTACGCATTTCAGACATGCAGTGAGCACCAACCATCACCCTGATGAATGAGGACATTTCAGACTTGGCAGCTGTCCATGTGGCAGCCGTCTTTGTACCAGGCAGCACCATGAACTAAAAGAACCACTCACAGAATCACAAGAAATAAAGCTGTACTGTTTATATTTTAGCCATTACAGTTTGGAATATGCAGAATAGTTAGCCAGAACCCCCTCCCATTTCTATGCTACTGAGTTCTTGCCTTCCCCAACTAAGACTCTATCACCTTAACTACTCCCTGCCTATCATCTGAACAAATTTGCTCTGCCTTATGCATATTTTTACATTCAATTATTTATTGTATGAATATTTATCATACACATGTACTAGAAACTGTGGGAGATGCTATAATGCCATAGGATCAAAATCTAAACTGTTGACTCTTGCTTTGCCATGGAACTTGCTTGAAATTTGCTAAGCAGTGTTGAGTCTCATTTAGTGAAAATTCTTCTTTTCAAATGTATAGCAAAATTATCCCTTATTATTTCTAGCCAACATGATTGAAGCAGCCTTTCGACTGACACCCTTGTTTCTAATCCCTCTTAAGTACATCCTACAAATCTCTATAGTTCCCCCCCACTGTTCTACTACTGTTCCCATAGCTGAGTCTCAGGGGGCTGGTGGAGGAGACCCCGCAGCTGTTACATTTGCAGTCTGTGGAGAGGGGACCTCCTACATTGAGTGAAACTTCCAAGAAGACTTAAAAGGTAGATGCTTTTCCCAGATATTGTATTGCCAGTGTATTGTGTGAGATTTCCCTTCCTGGGGAGACTTAGGGAAAAAAATTCTGTTTCACTTAGACCAACTGAACTTTTCTGTGTGAGTGAGACCTGGATTTAAGTTTCTTGTAAAACTGCCCCAGATGGGAACCACTGTCTCAGATTAACAATTCTTAAAAAATGATCTCTGCACCAACAGCATTGATATCAACTAGGAAACTGTTAGGAATGCATACTCTTTTTTTTAAACTTGAAAATGTATTTTTCCTGACACTTAATTGCTTCTAGATTCCAATCTTTTTTTTTTTCTTACATCATTGTTCATTTTTGTAGACCCCATAGTTCTGTTGCCACCATATCAACCATGGACCATCACCATATTTCCTTGTGTTCTTGCCTCCCCTTTACTGACCCCCCTGCTCCCTCCTCCCCTGTTGTATGCCTTAGATCTATGGTTAGCTTGCAATTTTTCTCTGTTTCTTGACCTTTTGTTTGGTTTCTCTATAATTCCTCCTGTAAGTGAAACCATCTGATACTTTTCTTTTTCCTTCTGACTTATTTTACTGAGCAAATCCCTTCCAGCTCTATCTGTGTTGCTGCAAATGGCATGAGTGTCTTTTTTGGTCACTGAGTAATATTCCATCATGTAAATATACCACAGCTTTTTGATCCATTTGTCTGTTTTGGTTTGGGGCATTTGGATTGTTTTCCTATCTTGGCTATTGTAAATAAAAATAAAGATAGGAGTGCAGGTTTTCTTTCAAATTAGTGTTGTTGTGTTCTTTGGGTAGATTCCCAGGAGTGGAATCACTGGATTATATGGTAGCTCCATTTGTGTGTTCTGGGGAAACTCCACACAGCCTTAGACATGCACGTTCTTGGGACCTATCAGACCTAATGAAGCAGAAACTGAGTGGGACCGATCACTTGTGTTTTAATAAGCTCTCTGGTGACTTTATTAGCATTACTCTTAGAAAACATTTTACTAGAAAAATCTTAGTTTCCTTTCCAAGTCCTTTTGGACTTGAAAAAGAGTATCATATATAAATTATTTTTAAACCTTCAAAAGAACCCCAACTAAATCTGGGGAGGGTATTAGTTATTTGAAAGTCACTATACTGGCAAAATTTGAGACCACTGACAGGTCATAAATGGACATGCCAGTCACCTCACTAGTGGTAATGTGCACTCGAGAAATGCTAAATGCTTGTCATCAGATCTCTGAAGCACGGTTCAAGGGGTTATTTAGTATAAAGAAAAGGAGCAAATCAGTCAGGAATGATGCTGCTTATTTCCCAGAATGAGAACTCAAAAAGAGAAATTTAAATTTCATTTAGATGCTTGATAGACCCAAGAAACATCTTGATGAGAGGGATTAGTTAACGTTTGAAGGGATGTGAAGTGATTTTAAAATCAGTTTTCATTGCAAATAGTGTAGAGAAATCCCATTTTGAATTGTTATATCCCTGCCTGGGGTCAGTGACAGAGATCTTTGAAGGCGTGCCCAGTTTTCAGCAGAGAGCATAAAATGATTCCAAATACCATCTGATCGTCATTTGTTTATTTTTTTACTGGGTATTTTGGAAATGCTTTCAAAGTAAACTTTAAAGGATTAATGGGAAGTAAAGATGCCTAACTTGAGCATTGTTGTCCCAATCTTTGGGACCGTGGAATGAGATTATCAAATGAATGCATGAGCTTTGAAAAGTTTATATGATATTTTAAATGAGATTTAAAAGCGAAAAAAATGGGATTAGGACCATAAAATCCTTTATGCTTAAAATTTTCTTTGAGCTGTTTAATGCACTTGTATATTAGAAATAGAGATCTGATTTGGATTGAATCCTCATTATTTGCTAAAACATGGTCTGGAAAAAATTTCCTAGATGCACAAATAATATTAAATTCTATATTGACAAAGGACAGCCTAGCTCTAGCTCTCCAGTTAAATATTTCAATTAGAAAAATTTGCATCATGTAATATATAAGGATGCTTGAGACTTTTCATACACCATTAAATCCAGATGCTATGCATAGTTAGTTCAGTGGGAAATGTTCAGTAGAAAAATGTTTAGTTTAGAAAGAAGATTATATAATATGCCGCTAGACATATTGCTGAGAAGTGTACGTTTGCAGCCTTGTTTTTCGAAAGATTATAATAGAAAGCAGTTATAATGCAGATGTTGGGGTAACTTGAGGTTTTAGTCCTTTAACGCTGATCTAACAAACTGCCTCAGACTGGGTGACTTAACAAATAATAATTATTTAGTAAAGTTCTTAGGACCAGGAAGTCCAAGATTAGGGCATGTTCAGTGTCTGAAGAGTTCTCTTCCTAGTCCTGGACAACCATCTTCCCAGGTTGTCCTTGCATAACAGAACAGACAAGAGAGCTCCAGGGGGTCCATTTTATGAGAGCACTAAATCACATTCATAAGGGCTTCACCCTCATGACCTAATTACCTCCCAAACATCTCACCTCCTAATACAATCACATTGCAAGCTAAGTTTCAACATATGTCTTGGGACACAAACAGTTACTCCATTGCAGCTGGAGAAGAAAGTTAAATATTCAGCTTTTTCAAAGAACTGTGACTGGCATAGTTAATTGGATTGATTGAGACAGTATAGACAGGGTAGAGATTTGGGTATGAGGATATAGGTTCCAGTTATAATTATTTTTCTTGCTGGTAATATCATCTTGAGACCAGGTAACTTCATTGAGCTTGCCTTATTTCCCATAATTATAAAATATGAATAAGGAAACTGGAATAAGTAATAGCTTGTAAATATGAAACAAATTAATATAATGCAAGTGTTTTGAAAGTAGGAAAGCTGATACTAGATTTTTCATCATAATAGATTTTTTATTTGCTCTTTTATTGCTAAGGAACACATTGAAGGAAACTGAAATCGGGTGAATAGAGGAGAAGTTTCTACCTTAAAAAGACACAAAGGAAAAGTTCTTTACAAATAATTTTCAATTAGAAAAAATAATCTGTAGTCAGTTGTGGTTTTCCTGCAGATTAGTTATAGTAGTTTCTCATAATTATTTTAAAATATTACTATTTAGTTGGAGGATCATGATTCTCTCCTTTGATAAAAATTCTGTGTTTAAAGTTGAAAATGTATTTGCAATATTTAAAAGAAACTGCATTGTACAAGAAGCATCATGATGTCTGAGCAACATTCTGGAATTATGCAATAAATTCTTTCCTGGCACATTTCAGATGCAATGCAATGGAAGTATATGTAAACTCTTTCACACATCAAATGTCTTTTTTTTTTTTTTTTTTTGTGGGACCCTCCCCGGTAGCCAGGGAATGAACCGCCGCTGCAGAGGCTGCGGGCAGCCTCGCAGCCCAGCGCTCAACCGCTGCACCACCAGGGGAGGCCCACATCAAATGTCTTTATCATGCTTGCTGCACATAAAGGCAATTGTGTGTCATATGTTGTAAACCTTTTAAACATGAATTGTAAATGAGACACTCATACTCCAGGGATGCTATGTAAATGTGAATTAGTATATAGCTATGTTGTTAACACACTAACTATGCTTTCTGGCCTGCAGAATAATCTGATATTGCATCGTAATTACAAAACAGGCTTTGCACTAGGGTTGGAAAATCCCAAGTAAATTTTAGACACGCCCAACTTTTTTTATTTTGGGGAATGACAAGGTCACAAGAATATTGCTAAAAATATCTTAAATACTTAAATGCAAATATTTGCGGTCAATTCTCTGAGCTTGATTTTGAATACTGAATAAACCAATAAAGGATTGTATCTTCAGGGCAAATCTATAAACCTGCCCGGCAACTTTCCAGAAATTATAGAGGCCATAAAAATACAATTTTCATACTCTTTTTTTAAAAAAATTGTATGGCTTAGAATATTTTTACATTTCAAACTGATTAATGTATGTGTAATTTAAACTATTGAATGACTGAAGTAGGTGCTAAGAATGTCTTTTATCAACCCACAAAGTAAGAAAATGAATGTAAAGGAGTATCTACATCTAATAATAACATCATTTCAAAGAATTTTAGCCATATTTTTGAGCTCTGTCTTAAAAATATGAACTTGTGACTATCTCCAAAGAAATCAGTTAGCTAAATTTTAAGAGCACTGTCTTATTTGGATTGATATATAGTTTTAAATTAGAATGCAGGGACCTTGCTGGTGGCACAGGGATTAAGTCTCAATCTGTCACCTCTGTGGCCTGAGTACAATCCCTGGCCAGGGAGTTAACCCACATGGCAAAGCAGATCTCTCCTGCACCCCTTAGCAGTATATTTCTGCTCCCCACTCTGTCTCTGGTGAATCCTCTTACCCCCCACACCTCTGGTCTAGACCCCAGTTCTTAAATGCATAAATAAAATAAATATTAAATAAATAAATTAGGATGCAGACATTATACGCAAACAGGCCATCTGATAAATGCAAATAAGACCAACAACGTGTCAGTACTGAATGAGAGAAATTAACATATGTAGACTGGAAAAGGCTGAGTGTTAATCGAAGTGTTATAGATACAGTATTTTAAAATATGTATAAATTTCAGTAAATACTTTCATGTAATTTAAGGGAATTCAGGGCTGAGTATGGAGAAATATATGGGTGAAGATATTTGTCACAATATCTCCTTATGTAAAAAAGTAAACTGACCTATGAAAATCTATTTGCCCTATCATGTCTTAAGGCAGAGAAGCTCTCTAAAGACAGTATCTCTAATTTTGTTTGTTGATTTGTTTGTTTGACTGCAATTATTTCAAGATATCTATGCTTTCTCACAGAATGAAGACAAACACAGAGATGGTGTGTCTAAGAAATTTCAAAAGGTGTAGGCCTCCTGATTGAAGCACAGTCAACTTACTGGGTTCATTTTTTTTTATTATAGTAAGTAAAAATATTGAAAGTACATTACCTTGGACAATCCTAGCTTGTATTCTTTGTTAAGTAAATAGTCACTTTTTGTCAAATGCCCTCATCATCATTAGAGCTGTTTGTATTTGCATTTTCCTGCAATTCTATGTGCATATCTTAAATGAATTTACCGCAAGACCATTGCGTTGGCCAAGTATTAGAGTAATCTGGTTCAGTCTCTTTATCTATCACAAGAAAATCCTTTATAATATCCCTAAAGAATGGTCATCTTATTCATAGACTCTGTCAAGGAGAAGGGGTTGAGTTATTTCTCAGACTGATCAGTTCCGTGGGTGTTCTACCTCAAATTGAGTCAAACTAGATCTTTCTAACATGATCACCCATCTCATCTGGCCTCTGAAACAAATCCACTTACTCTTTCATCCAATAAGTAGTCATACAAAAATGTAAACATAAGTTATCAGGCTCCCCTATCATCTTTTATCCCAGCCACATAGCATCAATTACTACATTCCTCCATACCAAACAGTTTGTAGACAGGGAGCTCCTGATTATTTTGTTGCCCACTTGTCTTTAGCCTGACTGAGCTTTGGGTTCTGGGGGTGAGCTCATCAGGCAGGCAAGGAACTGTTGTCATTTAGCTGGGGTCATCTGCTACGATGGGCACAGATTATAGTCATAGTTATATTGAGCATAATTTATTTATCATAAATATAGCACAAAGGTATATTTAGCATAATATATTTAGCATGAATATAGTGCAGAGCTAAATTTAGCACAATAGCTACCACATGATTAGTTTTAAGTGTACATCTACATCCAGTCAAATCCCTTGGTATTTTTCACATGTTCATGCGGCAGTTTTCTGCCATTCCCCCTTCAGTCACGTTTACGGTAATTTGGAGTCCAAGTCCAGTACTTTCTTTTTGTCTCAAAATCCTCTTGTTTTGGTTTTAGTCTGGTCTTGACACACAATTATGGTTAACTGCACTGGGGTGAGGCAGAATGGGAGGAGTTGAGAGTTAGAAATAGACCCACTAAACCAGAGTCAAGGAGGGAAGCCCTGGAGAGTTATATAATCAAGTTGCAGGTCCTAAGAGGAAGTTGAACCCATAGAAGATGGTATGATGCCCAGAGAGGATGGAGACAGAAAGTAACACTCCAGTTCAGCAGTTAAAACCAAGGGTCCTGGGAGGGCCTAACAAATGGGAGGACATGAAGGTTTAGGGTTCAGGACCAGGTGGTCACAAATATGTTGACACTGGCCAGCAAAAGAGAAGATTCTTATTAACAGATCGCAGCGCCTCTGTAATGGGATTCTAGGGTTCAAGGTAGACTACCAGTTTCTAGAAAGAGGACTGGTGAGAGCAAAAAAGGCTCTCTTGGGGGTGCTACCAGTAAGGTATCTAGAGAGAGAAACTGAGATCCAGGGATATGATATAATTCAAACCCAAGAGAGTTTGAGAGTGAAGTCCTTGGATATTGGTTGGAGCTGAACCACCAGCTAAAGGTGGCCATACTACTGTGATTTTATTGTTTTTCTAACCAGATATATTATTAAATCTAAATGTTTTCTTTTATCTGCCTTACTCTTGGGCATCTCATAGGTGGTCTGGATTTTGGTAACTGGCAAATTTTTAAAATGATTTATGAAAGACTGAACATTACCTAAACCATCTGGTAAAAGAGCATTGTCTGAATACTTTTAATATGACAATGCAGAATCCACCTTGCTCTCTGAAGGCAAACCTAGGCTAGTGGTTATGTCTTTAATCATTTATCTTATTAGTATCTTGCTATCAAAGCATCAAAGTCTATTCTGCCGCACAGTAGAATGTTCAAACTATTTTTCCCCTCACCCTTTTTAAGCCTTTACTGTTATTTGTTAACTTTTAGGTATGCTAAGTTGGACATGAACTTCCAACTCAGTTGGATTTGAACACAGAATTGGTAGATCCTGCTAATCCTAAGGAATAATTTTATAAAGCAGTGCTTGCTTAAAAGAGGGTCCCTACAGTGGCTGACACACAACTCTTAGATTATAAAACATGCTCCATGCCTGGTGGCTAAATGTGGACTAGAGCTTACTGGGACCCTTTGGAAGGTCTAAACTGTGACTGTCAAATATTAGTAGCAAAGAATAAGTTTTCCTGATGTTGATTGAAGAAAATCTGGCTTCTGCTTTTTAATAGCTTAGCATGCAGTCAAGATCCAGGAGGAACAGTCTCACCAAATAGTCTCTCATCTGAGGGACTTCCTGGTGCCTAGTGTGGATGGCCTAAAGTTTCAAATGTAATCAGAAGACTTTTTGTACCCCTTGATCACCCCTGCCTTCCCCACCTTGCTCCTGAGCTGAATCCTACTGGAGTAGAGGTATAAAGTCAGTGCTTCGTTTGGATCCTTGCTTCAGTGCTTTTTCTTTTATTTTCCTCTTCCAGTTTCTGTACTCCTCCAAGGAAAGTCATGATTACACTCACAGAGCTCAAGTGTTTAGCAGATGCGCAGTCATCTTATCACATCCTAAAGCCGTGGTGGGACGTCTTCTGGTATTACCTCACCCTAATCATGCTGCTGGTGGCCGTGCTGGCTGGGGCCCTGCAGCTGACGCAGAGCAGAGTTCTGTGCTGTCTTCCGTGCAAGGTGGAGTTTGACAATCACTGTGCCGTGCCTTGGGACATCCTGAAAGCCAGCACCAACGCGTCCTCGGATTCAGGGACGCCGCTTCCCCTCCCCCTCCGAATACAGAACGACCTTCACCGCCAGCAATACTCCTACATCGACGCCGTCTGCTATGAGAAACAGCTTCACTGGTTCGCAAAGTTTTTCCCCTACCTGGTGCTCTTGCACACACTCATCTTTGCGGCCTGCAGCAACTTTTGGCTTCACTACCCCAGTACCAGTTCTAGGCTCGAGCATTTCGTGACCATCCTCCACAAGTGCTTCGATTCGCCGTGGACCACCCGCGCCCTGTCAGAGACTGTGGCCGAGCAGTCCGTGAGGCCCCTGACCCTCTCCAAGGCCAAGGTTTTGCTTTCGTCCTCGGGGTGTTCCGCAGATGTCGATTCCAACAAGCAGTCGCTGACCTACCCACAGCCTGGCTTGGAATCTGGGAGCATAGAAAGCCCGACTTCCAGTGTCTTGGACAAGAAGGAGGGTGAGCAGGCCAAGGCCATCTTCGAGAAGGTGAAAAGGTTCCGTCAGCACGTGGAGCAGAAGGACATCATTTACAGGGTCTATCTGAAGCAGATAATCGCCAAGGTCATTCTGTTTCTCCTGATCATAACTTACGTTCCGTACTTTTTAACCTACATCACTCTTGAAATTGACTGTTCTGTGGATGTGCAAGCTTTTACAGGATACAAGCGCTACCAATGTGTCTACTCCTTGGCAGAAATATTTAAAGTCCTGGCTTCGTTTTATGTCATTTTAGTTATACTTTATGGTCTCACCTCCTCCTACAGTTTGTGGTGGATGCTGAGGAGTTCTCTGAAGCAATATTCCTTTGAGGCATTGAGAGAAAAAAGCAACTACAGTGATATCCCCGATGTCAAGAACGACTTTGCCTTCATCCTCCACCTGGCTGACCAGTACGACCCCCTCTACTCCAAACGCTTCTCCATATTCCTGTCGGAGGTCAGCGAGAACAAACTGAAACAGATCAACCTCAATAACGAGTGGACGGTGGAGAAACTGAAAAGTAAGCTTGTGAAGAATTCCCAGGACAAGGTAGAACTGCATCTTTTTATGCTAAATGGTCTTCCAGACAATGTCTTTGAGCTGACTGAAATTGAAGTGCTGAGCCTGGAGCTTATCCCTGAGGTCAAGCTGCCCTCATCCGTCTCCCAGCTCATCAACCTCAAGGAGCTTCATGTGTACCATTCGTCATTGGTGATAGACCATCCCGCGCTGGCCTTTCTAGAGGAGAATTTGAAAATCCTCCGTCTGAAATTTACTGAAATGGGGAAGATCCCACGCTGGGTCTTTCACCTGAAGAATCTTAAGGAACTTTATCTTTCGGGTTGTGTTCTGCCCGAGCAGCTGAGTACCATGCAGCCAGAGGGATTTCAGGACTTAAAAAACCTGAGGACCCTTTACTTGAAGAGCAGCCTCTCCCGGATCCCACAGGTCATCACAGACCTCCTGCCGTCCCTGCAGAAGCTGTCCCTCGATAACGAGGGAAGCAAACTGGTTGTATTGAACAACTTGAAAAAGATGGTCAATCTGAAAAGCCTAGAGCTAATCAGCTGTGACCTAGAACGCATTCCACACTCCATCTTCAGCTTGAACAATTTGCATGAGTTAGATCTAAAGGAAAACAACCTTAAAACTGTGGAAGAAATCATTAGCTTTCAGCATCTCCAGAATCTTTCCTGCTTGAAGTTGTGGCACAATAACATCGCTTATATTCCTGCCCAGATCGGGGCTTTATCTAATCTAGAGCAGCTGTCTTTGGACCATAATAATCTTGAGAATCTGCCCCTGCAGCTTTTCCTATGCACCAAACTATATTATTTGGATCTAAGCTATAACCACCTGACCTTCATTCCAGAAGAAATCCAGTATCTGAGTAATTTGCAGTACTTTGCTGTGACCAACAACAATGTAAGTAAATCTGTTCCTCCCTCTATTCAGCCAGTCTTTGAACGTTTAATGCTGCAAGTATGTAATGTATATAAAGAAAATGGCCTCTAAGTCACGCTAAGTAAGCACCCCTTGAGCCTACCTGACTACCACTTATTAGACACGGGACCCTGGACAAATCACCAACACTAGGCATCAGTTTTTGATCTAAGTTACAAGTTGTCATGGAGATTTTATGAAAAAATACATAAGTATTTGGTGCAGTTCCTGGTTTGTGGCAGTTGCTCAACAATATTCTCTTTAGTCCCTTTCCCCATTTTTTACATAAACTTCACAGTTAAAGTATTTAAAGTGATTAGTTATGACGGAGCTTATTTTCCATTTTAGAAAGGTCTTACATACTTAAAAAGTTTCATAAAACTTTGCAGCTTTCCAAATTTGTCACGGGAGAACTTTCTGTTAAAAATGCTGGGATCATGAATTATTCATAAACTTTTTGTGATGTAGTAAGAAAGACTTGAAATGTACATGCATCTCTAAAAAGGCAATTCAAAATGAAAGGCCTGGTTCTATAATGCAACAGTAGGGCTTCTGAGAAGCTTTTGCCAGCATCCATGCTTAAAAAGTGAACCATAATTTGCAACAGTAAGGCCAAGTTAAGGAAAACTTAACTTCACTGAAACAAGGAAAAACAAAATAAATGAGTAGGTTCCTAGGTTACAATGTGAAGGAAGGAGAAAAAGAAAATTTTCATGCTAGACGAAGGCACAAGAGAGTGGTGGGAATGTCCACATGGGAAGAATAAAACAGCCTGTCAGGAATCAGGTCTGCCAAAAGATGAAACTGATCTTCCTCTATTTGAAAGTGGGAACTGTTTTCTTCTACCACACCCCAAAATGTATTCACTCCTAGATTTTTTTGTAATTCATATTTCATGCTAAATATAGCGATGAGCATGGTGTTGGCTAACAAACACATTAATCACTAGACGTTATTTTTCGAGAACTGTGAGTTGTTAGAGAAGAACCAGTGAAGTTGGGGAAGGAGAGCAAAATTCATGCTGATTTTTAAAACTCTGAAACTTCACTCACATGGAAGAGGAGAGCATCCATGCTGACATGAATGAGAAATCTTCAGATCATAAAGAAGTTATGATCTGATTGATCATAAAGATCATAAAGAAGATCATAAATCTTCAGATCATAAAGAAGTCCTAGGTTTTAAAACCCTGGAGGATTGACCTAGGTTAGCAATGCGTACCAGGACTAGTTAAAAAAGACTGCTGGGCCTCACACCCAGGTTTCTGATTGATTAGGTCTGATGAAGGACCCCAGAGGTTGCTGTTTCAAAAAGGTCTAGGTGGAAAAAAAAGTCCCAGGTGAAGCTGATGCTGCTAGTCTGGTGACCACACTAAAGGTTTTTCATTAGTGACAATTATGCAGCCAGTTAATATTCATATTTTCATTACATTTGCACTGTTAAATCTATATTATATATAAAGTACAAATAATTATTTTAAAAGACATTTGTTCTACTAAGTTATAGTAAAAGCTAACTAATACATGAATTTTTGAAAGTTGTATCTGACTAAATTGTTAGCTGATCATGAATTATTTTAGTGTATGGTCATGTTAATATTTTTCCCCACTTCAGTGGAATAAAATCTTAAGGTCATTGGTACTTCTTACATCATTTGCTGACCTCTTGACCGTCTGGAAGAGAGACTAGGTGAAGACACATCTTTAGTAAGGGAGGCAACTTGACAATGCATGGAAAGTCTTATGTGGAAGGTACTTTCTGGCCAGCTGGGTTGCCTCAGAGGTCTGCTTACCAGCAATCACTGAGCTGAACATAATGCTTCTGAATGGACAAACTGTTCTCCTCAGAACTATGAAAAGATTTAACCAGGTCATGGAGAAACTGGAACTCATTCAGAAGACAGTGACTAGACAGATGGAAAGTTCCTCTATGATGGACAGTTTAGCCAATGATGAGACATATTGGGAGGGAAGGAAGAGCCTTTATTCCAGCATGTTGGTCTTTAAATATTTGAAGGACTTATTGGGAATAACTATACATATTCAAGCTTGGAGAGGAAGGAGAATATTTCTTGTCTTTCAAAAAAAAAGCTGTCCAAAGACTCAATGTGAACTGAGAAATGAGAATTTATTTTCTTGCTATTGAAACAATATATAGACATAAATTGTCAGCTTCAATAGATATCTAGTTAATGGGAATCTGGGACTCCTGTTTCATATAGGGGTTTAGCTAATTTCAAGGTTTCTTCTCACTTTGAGAATCTTATGAATTCTAGGAAGTAGACCAAATTACTTGTGAAAATTAGAAAATAAAATATCAAATTGGGTGCACATGCATTTATACATGCATATACTCAGAAATTTTAATTGATTTGTCCATATGAAATGGAGATTGGCAAAGATTCTTGAGGGAAGAGGTTTTAAAGACCCTTCTAAGATTTGGGCAGTGTATCTGATTTGTAGATGAAGGCAAGAAGTACTAACTCTGGGTTTAAGTATAAAAGGCGTCGATTGAAAGGATATAGTATATCTCCTGTTGCAAAGGCTACAGAATCACGCTTCAGAAACAATTAAGCACAAATAAAAAGCTATAAGGACCACAGCCCAAATCATGGCACAAAATCAAAATGGTAAAGATACCTGGGACTTGGTGACCCTGCCAATTAAAAACTCACTTCTGCTCTTGCAGCCCTTGATATCCCCCAGAATAAGTTCTTCATGGTTTCTGCTTCTTTGTGTCTGGGTCTGGCACCCATTAAAATCCAGCTCTGAGCCCCTAGTTGACAGAGCTTATGAATGCCCACACTCTAGCTCTGAGTGAGCTGGGGACTCACGAGCGTGCTGTTCTCAGTTCCTCTAGTGGGAAGGGCTCTGCTGCCCTCCTAGTGCCCCAAGGTAAGTTAGGGAGTTCTCTAGGCACTGAAGATGCTGGTGAGTCCCCCAAAGGACATTTATTTATTGCCAAGGCACTCCAGAGTTTTCCTACTGCAGAGTAATAGGTGTTATCACAAAAAGCATTCAACATTTTTAAATCATGTTTGCTGCAGGATTTCTCAGAGGCTTTTAATATATAAACATATCACCAAGAGAGACATACGGTATGCAACATTTACCAAAGGTACTCGAGCAAGGTTCTCTTTTTCATTGTAACCCTTGTGCAGAGTGTTACATGGAACATACCCTGAGAATACTGGATTGGGGAAATGGAAAAAGATAGAGGTCAAGTACAAAGGGTTGCAACAGGCATGCGCAGACCAAATAAGAGATGCGAACATTCAGCAAGATGGGGCAGAATGGAGAATGCCTTGAAATCTGCCAGTCAAGTTCATGTTTGATTCATTGGATAGTGGCTGTGGTGACACTGGAGCTTGAAAGGGCTATTTAGAATTATGAAAACCAAGGGTAAGAGAAAAGACTCATAAAACAAGAGACAAAGTCTCATATATCTAAAAGGAACAGTATGACCATCTAGTGCACAGTCAGCTGACTACAGCCTGGCAGCCAAGTCTACCCACAGCCTGAGCTAAGAATGTTTTTTAGTTTTCAAGTGGCTGGGGAAAAAATTGAAAGAAGAATAATATTTTTTGACACATGAAAATGATATGAAATTCAAATTTCAGCATCCTTGAATATATTCCATTGTTCTTACTAGTGTGCCTGTATGAAAAAATATCGTACTCATTGGTTGGTCTTCTATTTTGAACCTCATCCATTGAGGACATTTTTCTCTCTGTATGTAAATACCTACATGATATTTTCAGTTTTGCGTCTTAACCCACAAAGTCTAACCTATTTATTGTCCCAGTGCTTTAGAGAAAAACTTTGTGAACTTCTGCTACTACTCTATTGCTCTCATTTTAGTGATAATAAAAATGAGATTGAGTATTTGTCTGAGGTCTGATGCTACCTGGATGGTGACCCCTTTCCCAGTGCTCTTTCAGACGAGCATCAATCCAGATGATTCATGGGGGGTGTGGTGGGAGAGCACCTTCCATCGTACCTAGCCCAGTGTCAAACTGGGATTGGAGCATAGATTGTATGGAATGTAATGGGGAAATCACAAGCTAATAGGAGGACTTAATAACTCCAGTCAAATGATAAAAATCACTCTAATTTGTACTTACTTTGACATTTGTGTACTTAGTACATTTGTTGAACTCAAAGACTTCTAGCCAGAGATAAGTGATATAGAAATTCCTTCTTACGATCCCTTTTGTGGCTATAGCTTGGTGTGTTTTAGGGGCAAGCTGCTCACTGCTAGCTGCACCTGTGAGAAATGGAAATATTCAGTTTGGTTCCTGGCCATGACTTTTTGAAGTTGAGACAGCATGTTATAGTGCCGCCCTCTACCTCCCACCCCCTAAAAGAAAAGAAAACCTCACATTATGGTTAGGGGCAGTGGGCATCAATTAGGTTTTTTTAATATATATATTATTGTATTTTCTATTACTTTCTAAGGTATTAGTTATGCATGTGCTTTTAATTTATTCCATAAGCCCCTTCTAAAGTTTATCGCTTTCCTGATAGTCTGTAAACATTTCTTTTGACCTTTGAGGAGAAATCAATAGTTAACTAAAGTTCACCTTTTTCCTTTCTGGCCTATGTATTGTACAATCTAAGAAAGAACCTGATCAGTGAATTCAGTATAAATAAATGCAATCTGAACATTTTTATAGAAAGTACTGGTCCAGGCAAAATGTGTGTGGTGTTCTGTCAAGCTTCGAGACGAACTATTTTTAAATGTGTAGATAGCTTTTTCAGGACAAAATTGCTGAGTTGAAAGAAAGTCTCAAATCTCCAACAGCCTTCTTTAGCAAAATTGAATCTGAGCGAGTGGATTACAGTCTCTTGTCTTAGCTGAGGGTGGACGCTGAGATGGACACTTGAAGCCCTGGACGTGGTGCCTCTCACCCGGCCCTGGACCCACTTTCCACAGCAGACCCACAGTGGAGGGGGCCTAAACTCTCTGTCCTCAGGTCTGATCCCAGAGGGTTGTTCCTATTGCCAAGTGCAATCCTTCTCAGCACTGAGTGCTGAGAAATCTCTAATAACATAAATTCAGAGATTTTAAAGAAAGCTGCTGAGAATATGACCAGACAGGAGCATGAGGGCAGTGGCTTCTGGATGTGCACCCTGTTGGCGGTCAGTCCTGCTGAGCCAGACCTGTTGGGCACCGGAAGTTGACTGAAGAGGGAGGATGTGGGGTCCCCTGTGGCAGCTCTGCTTAGGGCACTCTTGTCATAACACTCTCTGCAGACTAGTTAGTCATTGTTTGATATTCCTCTCTTCCGTAAGATCCGTGCTTCTTAATTGGGGGTGATTTTGCCCCGCTAGGAGTTATTTGTAGGGAGACATTTTGGTTGTCAGTGCTAAGGATGGCACTAGCATCTAGTGGGGAGATGTAGGATGCTGAACATCCTATAATTCACACAACTGTTACCCAAAGAAAGAATTATCCCACCCAAAATGTCACAGTGCCAAGGTCAAGCATCCCCGTCAGACTGAGGTGCTGAGTCCCATCTGCTTGCTCGGCACTTTCTCTTAAGTCCTAGCTCAGAGCCTGGCCCATCAGAAAGCTCTCTGCACAAGCTGACTGACCACACATGTGCCAAGCCTTCCGTCTTTGCAGCGGATTTGCTGGTTCCTGCTAGCAGCCGGCTCACCCTGAGCGCCTTGCTCTGCACCGATTGTTTCTTCCACTTTTAAGTCACCTGCTCTGCTTCTGAGCCGCAGATGACTCTTTAGAAGAGGTTACGTTCTTCTCATTTCTCTACTGTCTTTCTGTATTGAAATGCACAAATCTTTGTTTTGACATCTGCATTCTTGAGAAAGGGATGAAATAAACAGAACATTTTTCTCTTTGCTTATACCTAGTATTTTGGTGCACCAAAAATATATTGAATGTCAGCCTTAGCCACTGTGATTATTAGATTTACTTTCAGGTCTCTCCAGTACTGAATGTATGTGTGGATGATGAGGAGAGGGAGTTTCCAACATAATGAGCATTTTGGGATGCCATTGACTATATATCTGTTTGTATAGAGAATGTTTTTGTTTTTTATTTTCTTACATCATTGCTTATTTTTATGCATTTTGAGTCAGTTTGACACATTCTGAAATTATTTTGATTTCTCCCCCCAGTACAGTCCTCCCACCACCACGGCACCCATGATCCATCACCACAGTTCCTTGTGCTCTTCCCTCCCTTGTTTTGACCCCTCTCCCTCCCGCCCCCCCTTCTGGATGCCTCAGATCTATGTCAGCTTGCAGGTTTTGTCTTTTTCCTGACCCTTGGTTCAGTTTCCTATATTCCTCCTATAATTGAATGCACAGAAAATGTTTGGAGAGTTGGAGTTCGGAGAGTTCTGGAAACTAGCAGAGAGCTGGTTCAGTGGGGCTGTAATGTCAGCCCAACAGAGCAGGCCCATTCACAGCACACCTCTTTCATTCCTGTTTCTTTCAGAGATACTTCCTGAACCAAGGAGCCTGCGTTGTTTCATAGTTGAATAGCTCCCCCATCCCTGACCTGTATAGTAGAGGGCAGGTGTGCAGGCCAGCTCTGCCTGGTCAAGCTCACTCCTCAGTGGTGATGAGAGTTGAGGGCATTGAGCATGCTTGGATTTCTCTGCAAGGCTTTCCTCACTCAATAAGCTCCACATCATGCCTGCACCTTGGCTCCCTTAGACATTCACATGCACCCCGCCCACCAGACAGGGGAGCAGAGCGGTTGGGCAGCTCTAGGAATTAACCTCTTAAGAGCTTCTTGTCATTTTGGAAATTATTTCTTTGTGTGATAGGATTTAAATGCAACTGCCAGAGAACAGGGAGAAGGGCTCATAGTTATGGGGGTGCACATGAGGACAATGATGTGTGCCCATGTGTGTCAGCACCTCTTCCTGTTTCTGCTTCAATCAACTTATTGTTTTAACAGAATACGGCAAGACACTAAGAAATAGCCAGTTTCTGTTCCCAGGATGTTTTTGAGGATGTTGCTAATTACATTACACAGTGAAGTCTATGAGGACTCTTGAGAGCAATTTATTTCTGAACTAGGACTCAAGAATAATTATGACTCCAGAGTTACTGCTTTGTTTTTTATCTTAGGAACAATGAGCATGTAACTGGTTAGGTTTTCTTTGATTGCTGGTTAGGATGTTTAGAGTCCAATTTGTTGCCCTCTCTATATAGATAACAATGATGTAAAAGTTCCTGGGAGCCTCAATCCTCACTTCTGGTCAAGTTATTCTTATTTTTTCCTTTATCTTTTCAACCTACTGCGAATCTGTGATCATGGTTATATGTATCCCTGTAAGCCTTCAGAAACGTTGTTGGGAAAACGTATTCTTACCACATAGAAAATGTGTTATTAGCACAGATCATCACCAACCTATTTTACAGGCTTTGTTTTTTCCCTTTCCAGATTGAGATGCTTCCAGAAGGGCTGTTTCAGTGCAAAAAGCTGCAGTGTTTACTTTTGGGGAAAAATAGCCTGACGAGTTTATCCCCTCACGTGGGTGAGTTGTCAAACCTCACTCATCTGGAGCTCATTGGTAATTACCTGGAAACACTTCCTCCTGAACTTGAAGGCTGTCAGTCCCTAAAACGGAGCTGCCTGGTTGTCGAAGAGAATTTACTTAATACTCTTCCTCTCCCTGTAACAGAGCGTTTGCAGACATGCTTAGATAAATGTTGACTGAAAGAGAAAATAATTTTTAAATGTATACCCCAGGGCATTAATTGAGAATTAAGATTTCCCAAGTTATAAAGATGAAAAATGGATAATAATTAATTCTGACTATAACCAAATGTCTTGTTAAAGCAACTCATAGCTAACCCTAAATTAAACAGGTGACAAGTGTTAACAGTGAACTAAAGTTTTGTGCATAGCTGATCTTTAATGAATTGAGATGTAAGACTTACACTTCAAGAGTGTAATGAGGGATGTGAAATTACTGAATTTGTACTTTGCAAGTTTTTTTTTTTACTTTAAAGATTATATACTTTTTCCTCTCCCTCCCCCAGCCCCCAATACTTATTTGCACACTTGATTTAACTGACTTCCTGTTTTGATATTTATCATCCCGACCATAAACTCATCATGTAAATTTCCTTGATGTATACTCAGCACTGTCTTTGATTTATGTTCTTAGATATTTTTAGTCAGGGTGCATTGTGCTTGGCAGAATTCCTTCTTGGCTGAATTTTTACTTCCTTTCCTATTTTGTGCAAGTCTTCCTTAATCTGGTTTTCTCTTAACAACTATGATGAACCCTGAGAAAGTGCCTGCCTTTGACCTTTGCATAGACGGAGCAGGACACATAGGACATGTCTTCCTCGGGGCTTCCTGAAAATTAATGAATTCTCTAAAATATCTTCTTGAGTCTCATCAAAGTCTTTTTATTTGCTATTTTGTATTAAATGTAAAACATATGACTATTTTCTAATATATAACCTTGGATTCAAAAATCTGTGAGAATTTTTATAAGGCACAGAGGACATACTTCTTTAAGAATTTACTTAGTTTGGGTTGTTGATGATTCTCTATGTGCATTTCTCCAAAATGTCTCAGACTCTGCCACTAATTACTTTTAGATAACAAAAGCCTTGTGTTTCATGCCCTTAAATATTTGGGGGGTTTCCTTAGAAGAGGATGGCCAAGTTATTTACCTCTCTCTTCCCTGGTTGCTGTGCTATTGTACGGGTACAATTCTTCATTCAAAAACTGTGATCGAGGGGAGAGGTACAGATTTGAATCTTTAAAATTGATTTTGAAACACTTTGTAGAAATTCACTAAGAGTTCAAGCAAAATACCTTTTTTGCTCCATCTGCATGATCTAGTTAGATGTGATGATAATGTAAAACACTCAGCCTCCATCCAGTGCTTAAGATGAGTTCTCAAAGCTCACAAAGAAATAGATCCATCTAACTGAAATTCATCTCATGCCATTGTCTAACTTTGCTGGAATACATTTTGCTCTGTTTTTATAAAGAGCTTTGTGTTTGGCCTTTTATTATCATGCATATTGTAGAATGAATAAAATTGACTCATTTTGGGGAAATGTACATTTTTAATGTGTTTTTCTCTAATGGGTCTAGGCATGATGATGCCATCTCATTTTGGCTGTAACTATGAAGTGATCTATTAACTGCACGTAGGCAAAACTGGAAAACACTATGGATAAAGAGTACTGTAAACATGGAATTGTGATGTGTGCTATGTCTTTTCTTGCTTTGTCACTCCAGAAAGACAAAATTGAGTCTTCAAATTATAGTAAATGTATTTTCCTCACACCCTTGCACTGAAACTCAGAGAAAAGAATTGTTGATTTCAAATGGAATTTGAATTGTATTAGCTACAAATATATAAAATACCAAAAACTGCCTAACACATTATTGTTGGTTCTGAATGAGACGGAACAGTGTAAAAATGTAATTCTTACCCAAACTTGCCTTTAGTCAGAACTTTCAAGTTCTCAGGGACCCAGGTATACTTAATGAAACTTTCTTCTAAGACTTGAGAAAACAGATTCTGACTATCTGCAGGGATTTGGAGTTGTGCTTTTTCATGTGAGTCGTCATTTTAACATTTCCCACTAGAACTCTCACGTGCACTCCTTCTGGAAACATGAATACAATATGTGAAGAGGTGTATAAGTGGTCTTGGCCACATAATTAGCCATAATTTTGTACGAGATATCCAACCCTCTTCAATAAAGTTTTCCATAAAGAAAACTTCCATAAAGTTTTCAAGGCAAATTTCAGGGTTGTGACCATCCCCTCCCCAAACAAGAACTTCTCCATGGCTAGTCACTGGTTCCATCAACGTGTCAAAATGATTGACTAAATATTCCTTATCACCTCGCTAGAGTTCTGAAAACAGCTCACGATCAGGATCCACCATGAACATTGCAAACTGCTTTCCTACCCCTAGGATATATATATAAATATATTTCCTGTTGCAAGGAATTGTTCTTGATGCCATAATTTCTAGATTTCATTTTTTATTTTGATCTGACACATCAGTGTTTAGGTAGCACTTGAAATGGTGTTGCACTGATAACAGTCAACTCAGAGACCACCACCTGACATGCACAATGTGGTATTGATGCCACCTGTATTGTTGGAGCGGTTCTTCATTTTGCAAAGGTTCATATTCATTTGGGGAGCTTGAAATGAAGAAAATGAAGCTTGTTTAGTTACAATTCTGAGACTAGTTGGCATTTGATTTTCAAGAATATGTAGTTCATTTTCCAAAAAATAATTGTGGATGTTATTTGAAACAAAGGTGATAGCTTGTGTTAGCAATGGCATTGGTTCATTTGATTTACATGCGCGCGCACACACACCCCCCTATAAGCAAAATGTTACTAGTTTTTGATGTTTTCTATTTTTTCCAAAGTTGCAGTTGTAGGCGAATGTTGAGATGTCCTTTTATGTTCATTACTTCTGTTCTCTTAGTAGTTCTGTTCTTTTAGTTATAATGTTTAAAAGAAATCTGAGTGCTCGATCTCAGCCTGAGGACCTGACTGGTTTTGAGCATTTCCGATAAGGTGTAGTGTTCCTTCCCTAACCTATGTCAGGTAGATCTAGGTGTGCATACATATGGTGTCTCCATTCTCAATTTTAACTTCCTTCCTTGGATGTCACCATATTTCACTGTCACTTAACCAACGATTGTGTTAAACAGGGTATCCAGAGGTGCTCAGATCTCAGCGCTGGGACATAGCTCTGACTTATGTGCTCTCGTGAGCTTCAGTTACTTATTTTCATAACATTGTGTGAGACTGAAAATGTGTGTTTCTGTTCATCAGGTGTCTCATGATGCAAATTTTGTATATTTAATTAAAATACTATATAATATTGATGGGTTCAGAAACTATTAAAATAATCAAACAATTATTCTGTGGATTTATAGTTTTATTTCCTTATATGTTTTTGATAAAGTGTTCTTTCCATCTTTCCATTCTCTCAGTATCACCCTACTCACATAAATGTTTTGCTTTTCCTCTCCATTCACCCATGTCCTTAAATTTGATCAGCAAACGTATAGTAACAGAATATACTTGTGCTAGAGAAAGTGCAGTGAAACTTGAGCTTGGATGGCAGGGGGTGGGTGGGTGTGACGCCAGACCCTGTAATTGAGTAGTTCTATTTTACCCATCCCCATCCCGATGGTATTTTGAATGGAACAGTGATTCCTCATCCTTACCAAAAGCATGCAAATTTAAGTAAATCCATTTTGTTTTCAATAACTGTACATTGCATCAGAATCTCTGTTTATTTCTTTCTGGAAACAAGAAAAGGCGGATGGGGAGGAATTATTTTGCATCCTGGTTTGTGTTATGAAGACATATACATGAAATGATATAAAATAGTAACTGTTGCAAAGTGCCCTGGATATAACTGTTTCTTCTGCTGGATATGAAAGCTGAAGCAGTGAAATTACTGCAGTCTTATTTAATTGGGTTCTTCCTGTTTCTGGTCCATCACTTCTGCATCCACTGGAAACTATCTATTATAAGTACCTTCTGTCAAGGACTACATTCTCTTCAACTTTTTTATTTTTATATGAAACAATTTCACAACACTAAAGCATTAACATAGATGATATGAGCGAAAGCACTGATACGAGATGGCTTCCAGGTGAACTTAATTCATATTTAAGTTTTGCATTTGACTTGTATAATACACTACTGCTGAGAAAAAACAATATGAATGCCTTCTGCATGTTATATATTATCTCTAACAGAGATGGTGTAATTTTAAAAATACAAAGGGGCATAGAGTCAGAATAGATGTGTTTGTGCATATATGTGTTGTATATAAACCCTAATATTTGTTTAAATATTTTTAAACGCTTCCAAGTTTTACTCTCAGTGAAATAATGGGCCAATTTGAAGTAGAGACATTTTCTTTTGTTAATTTCACAGTACAGGCTAGAATCTGTTATTTTGTCACCTATTTTGAACCATGTACATAATCTTTTGCTTCTGGTAACTAATGCTTAGAAAACATAAGATTCTGTTGTGACTTTCATGTTCTTGGCCCTCAGGTTTACCATGTAAATCTGTTTTTTGGTGGTAAATCCCTTTGCCTGAGATTCAGTAGTTTTTGGTAAGCTTTACTGTTTTTAAAGTACCTTTTGTGTAAATTAAGAATTCAATTTTTATAATAAATGGAAAATAAAAACATTAAATGTCAAAAGAAGTTGACTAATTTTTCACCTGTGTTCACTTGTCAGTGACCAATTTCCAAAAGTGATTCTCTCTGCTTCCCATGCATTGCATTGTTATTCACCAAATGATAGATTTTAAACTTACATGTGAATTTCATAATAGTATATGAGTTTTCAAAATGGGCCATGCTGCTCCCCAAATAGCAAGTCCCTTGAAATCAGGATTGGTTCATGAGTGCACTTGGACATGGGGTGGGGAGGAGGTGGAGCTTGTCACTCTCCTAACCAGCCCATCTTTTCACCACTGTTTCTGCTTGAAGATGAGCAGACCAGCTCATCTTAGCTCCCATTTCTCCATTTATTGTTAGGTTATCACTAATGTTGAATAACGGTCAGATAAATAAAGGTCTAATGGAGAAAGAGAAAAATTGAATTGCAGGGTAAAATATGCAATGCTTCTTTGACTTTTGGACAGAGACTTTCTTTAGTGTCTCACTCACATACACACACACACACACACACACACACACACACACATACACACAGAGTTTCAGGACCACTTTAATAAACTCCTACCCTGAATTTTGCTGAAGGACAGAACTCAATAGACACTGAACTAAAATATGAAGGAAAGCCAGATGACCACGTTGTTCCCTGCAAATGCGCCTCGTCAGGAAATGCTCTCACCCACCTCTAAATGCTTTAGGAATGGAAAATATATTGCAGAAATGGAGCTAGGGTTTGACTTAAGATCACAGAGTCTGTTCAGGGACTACGAGGTTCTTGGGGAGATTGGGGTCCTCTGCTAATAGCCTATAGGGCAGCAAAGTGCCCCTAGAGCACAGCAGTTAAGTGTGACTTGATCAAAAAATTTCGTGTAGGGCCTGACCTTGGGAGAGAGGCTGCTGTTGAGGGTACTGTCTGATTCTCTAAAGCTATCGCTTTTATTTGGGTTTCTGCTCCCTCCTCTGCATTCTCTGTCTCCCTGATCTCTCATGTCTAGAGAAAAGCAATTCATCCAAGAGGCACAAAGCCATGCCTCAAAGCCCATATTTATAGAATAACATACGTCCACGTGCCAAAGAAGGATCAGAAAGTCATTTTTTAAAATGTGCTGTCTTTTTTTAAAATACAAATCCATCTGCACCCTGTGCTGTCTCATCATCCTCTAAACCAGAGTTATAAGTCTGTCTCCTAAGTACCAATGATTCTACAGTGCTGCCTGTGTACCCCTGAGCAGCTTTTCAAATGGTTTCTTATAAACATGTTAAAATGTGTGCGCCTGTTTACATAGATAGGCCTGTTCACTCTGCTGGGCTCAATGCATATCATTTTTAACTCTCTGTCTCCCTCTGCTGCTAAGATGAAAATAAATCAAATCAAGCTCAACCTTTTTCTTCTTCCTCCCTTTTATTGCTTCTGCTTGCCTTACCTTTATCAAATGCAGCCCCCAAGGTGAGATCTGGAAAAGTCAGAGATTCTCATAAATTTCAGTGACTCTATCTCCAGTGAGATGCACATAGAAAGAAAGCCCCATGCTGTGCCTGGCACCAGGACCAGACGACACGGTGCGACCACATGGTAGGTGCCCTGCGCAGGGAAGTATTTGACACCCCTTAAAAAATAGATGCGTTGGATGGTGGTTCAATATGAATTTGGAAGAGGTAGGGGAACTGGTTCCCTATTAGTAAAAATAATGAACATTTATGTCAGTTGTCTAATTATTCCCTCCTCCAAAATCAAAACACTTGTAAGAGTGAGGTAGAACTTGAAGATGACTGAGCAGAGAGGTGGGCGTGGGTCTGTAGGAGGGGCGCGGGGGTCCTCACCATTCACAGCACATCTGACAAACATCCCCAGTGGACCATCTTCTCCAGATCTCAGAGCAGGCTTGTCAGCTGCTGGGTCTCCCAACTCTTTTCCACTCCCAGGCACCCTACTCATCCAGCCCCCGCCCCGCTCACTTCCCAGATCTCACACCCACTCCCTCCAATACTCCCTCCTGTTTCTGCTCTTCCGCCACCACACAACACACACACAAGCACACACACACACACACACACACACACACACACGCTTCCTAACCTTTTACTAAATCACATTTTTAATATTAAATACCTATCACACCAAGGATGATGTTTGAGTTTATACTTGCTTATAATGGATCGGTAAGTATCAATTATAAAACTCTTCCTTCCTAGAAGGTGGCTTCTTGTTACAATTTCAAATCTGAATAAGACTTATTCACTGTGTTGAATGGGACTAAGACCAATTTGTTCTCCTTAAGCTGATAACCTAAGGAATTGCATTGGAAACCTGAGTTAACTAGTTTCCTATCCCTTATTCCAATGGCATTTGGTATTCCTTGAAAATGAGTACCCCCAGGCAAATGTTTAAAAATACAGGAAAAATCCAAATGCCATGTGTGTAGGGCAAATTCCTTCTAGCCTTTTCCTGAATTGTGTTTGGATTCACACCCTTATCGCCTTATCATTATGGGGAGAGAAGAGCAGTTCTGTCACCCTTTTGTCATAGACTAAGCTGGTCTCAGGCAAATCCTGAAAGCCTGGAGGAGTAGCCAAGTGAAGGGGAATTGATTCTGTCTGCGTAAAGAAGCCAAGGAAAATTTGCTGAACTTCTGGCACCTAAGCAGCAAAGTACTACATCATGGACCTCACTGGTGGCTTTGACCTGATCAAAGGTAAAAAATCTAATCATTTCTCCTTTTTTTAAAAGATTTATTTATTTATGCATACAAGAACTGGGGTACAGGCCAGAGGTGTGGGGGTGAGAGGATTCACCAGAGACAGAGTGGGAAACAGAACAGACAGATTGACTAAAATACATTGCTGAGGGGAGCAACGGGCGAGACAGGAGAGGTCTGCTATGCCATGTGGGTAGCTCCCTGGCCGGGGATCGAACTCGTGCTGCAGTGGCTGCAGGTACCTTCATAGGTTGCATCTTAACTACTTGGGCCACCAGGGAGGTCCTCTTCTGCTTCTTCAGGGAGAATAACATAGTGAAACAGTAAGATTATTTAGCACTTGCTACATGCTACATGCACTACTGGGTTCTCCAACAACCTTATTTCCCATTTCACATATGAGAAAAGCAAAAGTGTAACTTTCCCATGGTCCTATGACTGTTCAGCAGAGAACCACATTTAATCTGCAAATCTACAAATTCTGCTGCTACAGAGCTTTTGGTAAACTCCAATATCAGCCTCCTCTTACCCACCTTTGTGTTTACGACTCACAGGTGACACTGGAGTTTCAGATCTCATTGGTCTTTTCTCGTCGGCTTTAAACCTTTTGCATCCCCTGCTCAATTTCTATCCTAGTATATCTTTTCCTGAGCCAGTGAGTCACTTCCTATCTTAGTTTTCTTCTCAGCCTCTGACATAATTCCATAATTGCACAACTTTCCAATTGAGAGGAACCATTGAGACTTTTCAGAAAAGGAAAGGTCAAGTGGCTTGTTCAAGATCACAGATCCACTGAGGTCAGCTGCACTCCCTCCTGTGTGCTCTTTTCTCCCTGCTGGACTGGTGCGCGGGCACATGATGCCCTAACTATGGTAGAGGAGCCGAGACTAGCACCCATGTGACGTAGCTGACTTCAGGTCCTGTGCCATCACTCGCGGTAGCTGCATCCCGTACCCTGCTGCACACAGCGCTTTACTGGGCCTGCTATTACAGACTTTTCTCTCCATTCCACATGTAAGAAAACTCAACTCTGAACAAGCATCTTCAGTAGTTACCGTGACTGAGAACTACTAGAACATCTGCCAGACTTTGCAAACACCACTGTTGCTTGAAGCATATTAAGACATGGGGGGAGGGGGGAAATAATAACAATACAAAACCCAACCCAACACAACAAAACAAAAATAAACAGACAATTACAAACCAGAGACATCCTGCAGGGAAGCAGTAGAGAGAGGGATCAGAGGGATTGAGGGAGGAGCACAGGGGACTGAGGTGATGGTGCACAGGTGCCTTAGTGAAGGAAACTCTAGGGGGACTACACCTGAGTGGGGTGGGGAGGCAAACATTGTTTAAAAATGAACAATGATGTAAAAAATATATAAATTTTAAAAATTTTTACAAAAAAGAAAAAACAAATATATTTCTCACCTATTTCAAAAAAAAAAAAAAAGACAGGCATTCTCTCCATTTTATTGAAATGGAAATAGGCTGAGGCGGGTTTACTGACATACAATAGATTAGATTAGTTAGCTAGGGTGTGGCACAACCAGGTCTCGAAAAGGAGACTGTGGCACCAGGTCTTTGCTGTTTATAAAGGGCACGTGTCAAGGTCAGGTGAAAAGTTAAGTGATGGGGCGTGAGCACAGCCTAGGGTTTCAGTGTCTAAACCAGTCTTCTCTCCCTTTAGTGTGTAGGCTCTGACTGTTCTAGACAAGAACTAATGTACAACCAGTTTTAAACACTCTTTAGTATACATATAATTTCACCCAAAGGACTAATGTGTTTTTAAACTTTGTGGTTGTTTTGACAATGCCGTTTTCATTTTGATGTCTTAACCTAGACTGTGAGCACATTCACTCTCACGAGGAGACTGGAGAACCATCCCAGATTTCTTTTTTTTTTTTTTTTTAAGATTTATTTATTTATACATACAAGCACTGGGTACAGTCAGAAGCGTGGGAGGGTGAGAGAATTCACCAGAGCCAGAGCGGGGAGCAGAGCAGGCAGAAGGACCGAAGTACACTGCTGAGGGGAGCAGTGGGCGGCAGGAGAGGTCTGTGCGCCATGTGGGACCCTCCTCCGGTGGCTGGGGAGCAGCCGGGGATCGAACCGGCGCTGCAGAGGCTGCAGGCAGCTTTGCAACCCAGAGCTCAACCGCTGCGCCACGGGGGAGGCCCACCATCCCAGATTTCTGATCCTGTAGGTGATCCTGGATAAAGACCCCATCCTTGTTAAAAAGAGGTGCAGATGAAGCTTACAGTCAGTTTGGGTTTTACTACAGAAATGCAGTTTAACTCTGTGAGAGTCCTGATTTATTAGAAGAAAATGCAGCACACATGTCAGACTTGCAAATGACTACCCATCACAGTTAAGGCTAAATCTGTTCTGCTGATTTAGACGTCTGAGGAGAGTGAGGTGGAGGGGTGGGTTATACTAACCTGCTTGAATTCTTGCCACGCTCCAGACAAGAAACTGTGTTCCTGGTTCCAAGCGGATGGTGCATGCCCCCCGGTTTTGCCTTTTGACTGAATGCCCTGCCCAGCTGGGAGAAAATTTAAACCAAGCTTCAAGAATCCACTCCCAGCAGCACTGATTAAAATGGCATCTCCCCTCCCTTGGGTTCTTCAACATACCTGCCCTTGAAGCAAGTGGCTTGGCAGACCCCCTGTAAGTCACCCAATCAGTTGTCTCCAAAGCCCATTCACACAGTGGGATTGCAGCTCCCAGATATCCTCCCATCCCATCCCTACTGAGTGCTACAGACCAAGGAGAGGTGACTGACTGTGTGAATGTGTTCTGAACTTTGCACAATCATATGAGCTGCTCTTTATATTCTTTCAGCAGTTGAAAGAAATTGGCACTTTTCCCTTTTTGTTTCTGGTAGTAAATCTAATTCCTCCAGCTTAGAAGAAAGTGCCCTGAGAGGTATTTTCTTGCAAGGCTGGCAAAGAGATATGGGTGCAGCCTTAGATCACCAGCAAAGGCCCAGGCTGGGCCTGTGACTATAGAAAATGAACACACTTCTCCGGGCAAGCTGTGGTTCAGGGAATTTGTTGATGTTGAGGACAACAGAGGCTATTTCTTCGGGGAAAGGATACAGGTCCTTGTGACTTCTGGCATCCGGCATCATCCTCAGGATGCTACCATTCATCGTGATCTGTCACATCTGTCCAGTGTGATCTGACACATTTCAGTTAGCTCAGGGCCCTGGCCTGCCTGAGCCACTGAGAGGAGTGGGCCTCTGTGGCCCCCCAGGGAGCCTTCTATCTCCAGTATCTATATAAGATGCTCAGTGAGTGGGAAGTGTTGATCAGGGTGAATACTGAGTCATTTTCTTAAAATCTTGAGCATGTCATACTTTTTTTAGCATTTGAAATGATTCATTTTTATGACACATGAACAAGAATGTTATTCACCGAAGAATTTAAGGCATAATAGCAAGTGAAGGGGGTGGAATTATTTTATAAGGCTGTTCTTCAGGGCCTCCCATCAGGAGAGTCAGGTGGACAATGAAGAGGCACAGGGTGGATGGTGACGCCCTCAGCAAGGCCCTGCTCAGACTCAGGTTACAGGCCCCAGTAAGGACAAAGGACCTAAAGGTGACATAGGAAATACTGTACCTGGCAGGTACATGGCTCTTGTGGGTTTTCATGCCAATGTTTAAACTCTAGGACCGGCCCATCACTGCTGATGTTTAGCTCAGAGTCTGGGGCCAATAAATGGATCCAAGTTTTAAGTTCTTGGGTTTTTGCTTCCTGGGGCCCTGAGCTCAGGCCTCCTCCAGATTTGGGGGCATCAACAGGGGTCTAGCTCCTGCCTGTAATTAGGGTGCAACCCCAACTGGATGCCAAGTCCATCAGGCTCCCCTGACTCAGGTAGGCTGTCCTGGACCTGCATGCTGAGCACCTACTGTGTGCCCTGGTGTCCAGCTCAGCATGCTCCAGGCTTCAGCTTGGCCTCAGCTAGAAGAAAAGGAAGCCAGACCATGGTCCTAAACAGAGCCAGGCCTTCTTCTGGCTGCCAGGAAGGCACTCAGCCCCACCCTGGGTTCAGTTCCTGTCTCCATCAGTAATGCTTAAGAAACCTCTCTGAGCCTCGTTTCCTCTTCTTTAAAAATGTAAACTCAGTTTGACAAATATTAGGTGCCTGCTACTGGGCAGGTGTGACCTTAAGATATTGAGGCTGCAGAGGGCTTGATAGGGACAAGATAAAGAGGAAAACAAGCCTCACAGGATCTAGGAAGATTCTATGAGATTATGTCAATTGCTTAGCATCTTGTCTGACCCCAGTGGATGCCCACTGAATGTTAATTCTAGTAAAATGTTCCTCCCAAGATGACAGAAAATCTTTTAGAACTTGCCCTTTCCTGTCTGTCTGTCTGTCTGTGCTCATGTACTGCTCAGTGCCTAGAGTACTCTCTCCTCCTTCCTCCCTGTACTAGCAAACGTCTGTTCATCCACTTCTGGGTGAAGAGGCACTTGTGTAAGGAAGCACCTCCCTGATGGGGGTGCACATTTCCCTTCCCCCAATGCATGTTCCCCTGGTAACAGGCACTCTACTCTGAGATGCCCATCCCTCTGACAGCCGCCAGTTGGCTGTTTCCCTGAGTGGACTGTAAACCTGGTGTGGACAATAGCTATGTTCACCTGAGGTCTCCACCCTGACTCTGAGGAAAATATCTGCCTACCTGACACTTGAGGGACGCTGTTCTGCTCCCAATGTGTTGTGTCATGCAACACCACACTGACAAAGACACGGGAGTCATGGAGCAGGCTGCACAAGACAGGATGCTGCTGAGAGCAAGATCCTGGCCATTTTTATTGACAGAATAATCACAGAGCATCAGCTACATGTGTTAGGAGGACAAGGAGAAAAAATGGGTGAAACTCAGGAATGTCATCTCGAGCTTGGGGGGACAGGAGTCTGCTGACCATGTTATCAGCTTGATGACCAAGTGTTGTCATTGAAACTAGACCCCAGCCCCCAGCCATGGTCCTAATCTTATCAACAAGGCATTCCACTGATCAGCTTCTGCGGTCCCTTGTCGTGCATCGTTCCTCGGCCCCCCTGGTGTTCCCGGTCATACCTCATGATGTATGAGTCGGGAGTAAATTTAGGCATCCGTCCTCAGCCCCCCGGGCATTTCTGGTCATACCTCTTGATGCATACCCTTCCCAGAGTGATCAAGCTATCCGCTAGTGATTGATGTGAAAGACACCTTGTGAGGTTCGGCTCACATGACTGTGACTGGACAGTTCTGACCTTTGTATAGGAATGCAGAACTGCAGGTGATCATAATGGTGGCTGAACAGGCCACTTAAGTCTAGCAGCCGCTTAAGTCTAGCAGACCCACACCAATGAGAATAGCCCACTGGACCAGGAAAAGAAGAACCCGACCTGCAGGAACACATGAGGGCTTTATTTCCTCCCTCTTTTCTCCCTCCCAACAGGAAGAGGAAGGCCAGGCTAGAGATAGCTGCAAATACAGGCAGGGCCTGGCAGCACCCACATCTCCCCAGAAGCAACCAGGCAGCCAAGGAAGATGCAAGGAAGGGCACACTGGGTCCCTGCGGTTAACAAGTGATTATCTGCACCCACTCCAGCAGGGCTGAGAACAGGGCTGAAGAGGAGACCCCCACCCACCCTCCGTCATACCATTGTCTGGCCTCCACGGCCCAGCCATGTGATTCAAAGGAAGAGGTCTTGCTTCCCATAATGAGACAGAAGCAGCTTGAAAAATGGAAATCCAATGCCCCATGATGTCTGTGGCAGGAATGTCACTGTGTTAATCTTTTACGCTCTCCCCCCGGGTATGAAAGATGCCCCCAGACTCAGTACCTTGAGAATGTAACCTTGGCATACACAGTTATTACATGTGACTCACTGGAAATATGCCCTCCTGACCCCAGTGATTTGCTTTTGGCCAGAGTCCAAATCCCCTGGGCAGTGCCGGGCTTCCCCGAGCATTCCTGCAGACTCTCCGTATGGAACTTCACGCTATTTTCTCTGCCAGGCCTTCCCAAATGCCACACTTTGCCCACCCTGTCCCCTCCGTCAGAAGTCCCCTGCTTCCACACACATGGAAGATACAACTTCAGTTCATTCTCCAAGACTTAGATGAATTGTTTTGTCTCTACTGCCTTTTCCGACCACCTTCCTCTCACCAGATGTGAGTGAGGTACTTTTATCGCTAACCTTTTAACAATGTGGTCGGGTTATTTATAGAATGCCTGCTCACTAATTTGAGGACAGAAATCAAATCTTTTTCATCTTTTCATCCCCTTCAACTTGTATATTTTCTGGCATTTTATAGGTGCAGAATGAATCAAAGGCAGAAAGTCAGCCACTGGCACAGTTAGTCCTGAGGCCAAGGGGTCAGCCAGAATGCTGAAGGGTAAGTGCATGTGCCAGAAATTACTAGTGGATATTTTTGTAAATGGTATTAAAACAATAAGTCATTGAAGATTGTGGGCAAGGAAACAGCATGAAGTAGAACTTTGGGCACATTATTTGAGGGTATAATGAATGTCATGAGGTTAAAGGAAGAAAATCTTACATCCATTCTGCAGATGAGGAAACTGAGACTTGAGAATGTTGACTATTTTGCCAAAATACACATTCCTAGTGAGCCAAGCAATCTGGTTTGAAATCCAGCTGTGATCTCAGAGTTTGTATTCTTGGATGCTAAGTAAAAACTCAGCCAATCTGCAAACACCCCCTTGCACTAGGATACTTTAGGTCTTCAGGGAATATTCTCTCTGCTGTCTTAAGTTTGACTCCAGAATGTCATTTACCCTTGCTGGGACACAGTTTCTTCTTCATTCAGGCCAAGAGCACTGAGTCAGGTGAATGGGTGACCAATTCTAGGCACTGAGAAACTATGATTCTCTGAAGAATACAAGCAGACTTCCTAACTCAGAAATCAGTTTGGTTAAATGGTAAAGATTACTGGTGTTCTGGACTCTGAAAAACCTTTTCAAAGTATATGATCATGACTCCAGAACACACCAAAAAAGTTGTGAAATATTATCTTAATGGTCCTAACACTGTTCCCAAATGGACATTTAAAATATGTTCAGGCTTTCGAGCATAACTTTTGAACTTACGGAAAGTAACTTTTTATCTGAAGAGTGATACTTAAGTCAAAGTTCAGCGTTGGGGTCTCCAAACCTGTACACCCTCCCCTCACCACATCAGTTCCAACCAGACATACATGCAATTCTCTGACGATGGGCAGAATTTTAGGGTAGAATGCATCCGAAAACATCCATGTGGTTCAGAGTGCACTCTGAAATGCAAAGTTCCCACCCAAACCACTGAATAACATCCTGTTGTTTTCATCAAATCTATGCAATAACTGCTTTGATTTGGCTTTCATTTGGAATGATCTGCCTGATGCCACTTTCATGAAACATTCAGAATAAGATACAATCTCTTATGGTCAGCTACATAGAGTGGACCTTTCAGAGTATAAAGAAACATCTGTCCTCCATCTGCAGTGCCTAAAAAATAGAATTTTCAGTGAAGTACATTGTAGGATACTAATGCTTTTAAAGGGCAAGAAATCCATTTCTGACTAAGATCTCAACAACTATGTCCCCCAGAATATTTTTATCTTATAGACATTTTCAAAAAGCATCTCAAAGGGCACTTGAGCAGAGGGTTTAATAATATAACCTCTACATCAGCCAGTCCTGGTTCAAATGCTACTTCTGCAAAGTACTCACTGTGTGAACTTGGAAAGTAACCAGTCCCCAATGATTTTTAGTTTCTCAGAAATGTAAAGTAGAGAATAGTAGCACCGACCTCAAGAGATAATGTTTTCAAAGAGACTGGCACATAGCAGAGCACTAAATAAATACCAGCTTTGTTCCTGCTTTGTTATTGCCAAATGGCCAGATTTCTGATGCAGCTGAGAGAACATGGGGTTTGGAATTAGAAGACCTGAATGAATTTGCACTTCAGCTCAGCCACATACTAGTTGCGTGACCTTGGTGAAATCACCCAGTTCTTCTGGACTCAGCTTCCTCATCTGTAAAACAGGGAAAATAAAAATAGCTAACTCACCCATAACAGCTTGAGGTACAAGTGAGGTGATTTATGTAAACTTCCTCTGCCAACTGTAAACCCTGCAGGCATACGCTATTTTGTTATTGTTAATTTTATAAAAAGACTGTTCTCCTCCTCTGCCCCACTCGCCCCCAAATGCACTTGAAATCCTAATCTCAGTGTGGCAGTTTGGGGTGGGAGGTCCTGGGGAGGTCACTGGGGTCATAAGGGTGGAGTCCCCACCCTCCTGGATGAGATTGGTGTCCTTATAAGAAGAGAAAGAGACTAGGGCTGGCACTCTCTCCAGCTGTGACAGCAACAAATGGGTCCCCAAGAATAATCTGCCAACCCCTCGGTCTTGAGCTTCCAGGAGCTAAAACTGTGAGAAATAAATAACTTACATAAGCCATCCCATCTAGGGTATGTCCTTAGAGCAGCCTGAATAGGCTAAGATAACACCACTGGAACCAAAGAACATTTTGATTTTTTTATTCCAGAATTTACATTTACAAAAACCTTAGGTGCTCACATGATAACAAACAGTCACTAAGTCACAGAAGTAAGGATTCTGGGGAGGAACTGAAGCAGTACCAGGTGCAGAATATCTGTTTTTTCCAGTAAAACCACCTCTGTGGGCTTATCTTTCATCTGACCTCTGTGAATATTTAAAAACGTGTCCTGGTCAAAAGCCCACATGTTTGAAGAGGTGCTGAGATACAGAAGGATTATCAACTATGGTCTCTGCCTAAAGGTTGTTGTTTTTGATGTTGTAATTGTTGGTTTTTCAAATTTCACCTCTTACTGCCTTCTTAGAGCATTTAAAGCAACTGGCGATTCAGCAACTCTCAGCTGTGCTGGGTAACTGATCCTTTTGCCCTTCCCCTGGGAGGACGTTTTTGGATTTGGGACTTTGATTATCACTCACATTTTAGTCTGAATTCTGCCTTGTCAACTTTCTGTTAGTGTTACTTCATCCTTGAGCCCTTAGTGTTTTCATCTGCAAAATGAGAGAGAACAATAACCATCTCCAAGAGCGCTTGGGAGACTAAATAAGGTAGTACATTTAAAATATTTAAAGTTATGTCTGACACCGGCAGGTACTTAGCAGCTTCACGTTCCTTTCCTTCTTCCACACACACTGCTGGCTCCCTCTACTGACTCTTGACACACCCCCGAGGCCTTTGGCGGGACCCTCACTAACAGTGTCAATAGCTGAGGTGAGCCTATAAGAAAATGTCCCCAGGGAAACATTAATCGATACCCCTAACTTAAACTCTTGTCCAAGTTTTACCTACCCTGGGGCTTTGGAGGAGTATCTCAGTGAAAACAATAGACTCCAACTGAATTATTTGCTCATTGAATATTTGAAAGGGTGTGTGTGGGGCCTCCCCTGGTGGTGCATTGGTTGAGCGCTGGGTTGCGAGGCTGCCTGCAGCCTCTGCAGCTCCAGTTCCAGTTCGATCCCCGGCCAGCGGCGAGGGTCCCACAAAAAAAAAAAGGGTGTGTGTGTATGTGTGTACATGTGTGTGCAAACTTGGATACTCACACAATACCTTTGACAAATGCACAAACACTGATAAAACTGTATATGCTTCTCCCTGCCTATCTTTTTGTAATGTTCTCTCATGTGCATGTATGACCTGTTTAAATATAAATCACTTTAAAAATATTAGTGCTGTTGGCATAAATTCTTTTTTGTAAAGATTTATTTATTTATGCATACAAGAGCTGGGGTACAGGCTAGAGTGTGGGGGAAAGAGAATTCACCAGAGATAGAGTAGAGAGCAGAACAAGCAGATTGACTGAAATACACTGCTGAGGGGAGCAGCGGGCAAGTCAGGAGAGGTCTGCTCTGCCATGTGGGTCAGCTCCCTGGCCAAGGATTGAACTCATGCTGCAGTGGCTGCAGGTTGCTTCATAGTGCTGTGTCTTCACCCCTTGAGCCACCAGGGAGGCCCCCTGTAATAAATTCTTGATTGAGATATTCTAGAAAGAGTTCTCCAATGCCACTGTGTATTAATAACCTATTAATAACCCAAAAAGAGGTTCTAATTCTGCAGCTTCTGTGTTATAGACTATACATAACCTTTTTCCTTAAGATTTATGAAACAACCATTGTCACCAGAAATAGTATTGTTAGTTGAGAACTTGCTATCAAGCACTGTTCTATGTACGTTCACATATTACCTCAATTTTCACAAAAATCTTATGTGGTGAATCATTAATATTCACATTTTACAGGTTAGAAAGTTGAGTCTCAGAGAGTTTCCTAACTAGCAAATGATCAAGCTAAGATTCAAACCTGTTGTAGCTTTATTAGAAAGGACTTTGATTAATACTTTTTTATATTTTTTAAAGATTTATTTTTATTTATTTATGCATGCTGGGTGTAGGTCGGAGGTGCTGGCAGTAAGGGTTTTACCAGAGACCGAGTGGGGAGCAGAACAGGCATATCTACTGAACTACACTGCTGAGGGGAACAGCAGGTGAGACAGGCGAGGTCTGCAGCACCATATGGGTGAGTTCCCTGACTGGGGCTCGAACTTGTGCTGCAGTGGCTGCTGATAGCTTGATAGTGCTGAGACTTAATCTCTTGCACCACCAGAGAGGCATCCCAAAAAGCTGCTTTAAACTGCTATGAGCATAAGATTGTCTTCCCTTGGTCTTCCCTGTGCCCACAGTCATAAGTACCCTCTTTTTATTATAGCTCTAGCCTGTGTGTCTTAGTCTATTCATCCTGCCATAATGAAATATCAGAGATGGGGTGGCTCAGAAACAACAGGTTTATTTCTCAGTGTCAGAGGCTGGGAATCCAGGCCCATAGCACCAGCAGTTTGGGTTCTGTAGAAGGTCCCCTTCCAGGTTGCAGGATGCCATCTTCTTGCTGTATCTTCACATGGTTGAAAAGAATCTTTTTTTCTAGGAGCACTAAAGCCTTCCATAAGGACTCTACCCTCAAGACCTAATCACCTCCCAAAAGCCCCATTTCCTGATACCATCACAACAAGGATCAGGATTTCAAAGAATGCATTTGAGGGAGACACAAACATTCAGAGACCAGCACTATGTCACTTTCCCAAGGGGACTAAGTTCTTTTTCTTGAAGACAAAAACAGTATTTTACATTTATTTCATTTGATAAAGTTGTTGCATGACAAGTCATGTGTTTTCATTTTACCTGTTTGGATTTCTAATTGTACCTCATACTTTACATGTTCAAGACTGAACTCCAGATGTGCATTCCTGCACACCTGTCCTCTTAGATTATTCCCCATCCCATAAAATATAAACTCCATTCCTGGTAACAAAGTGAAAAACCTTGAAGTCATCTTTCACACCTCTCTTTCACATCCAACCTGTTAACAGATCCTGCCTGCCTTCAAAATGACATACTAGTGACAAATCACCCACTTCTTACCAGCAAATGCCAGTTTCCCAGATCCAAACCAACTTGCTGTCTCCATTCGTTACCATGATCACATTCTACCTGTCCCACCTCGGACTTTTCTTAGCCAGAGTAACCTGAATACAACTTAGATCATATGCCCTCTGCTCAAAGCCCTCCAGTGTGAGCACAAACTCAGACAAATCCTCTTCAGTGCCCACCAGATCCACACTTGTGGAATCGCACATTGGGCTTCTCCCAGGTCCTGAAAAATAGCAGGTGTCTCTCAGTTCAGGACCTGCACCCAAAGTGCCCTTCCTCCCATATCCACCCAGCTCGCCCTCACACCTCCACCAGGCCTCTGCTGCTTGTGTAGGAGAACTTCCTTGCCCAGTCTATTCTACCTTTGCCCCAGCATTTCCTTCCTCTGCTTTTTCTCTATACCCCTTTTCACCAGCTAAAATAGTATGCCTTCGAGTCATTTATTTTGTTATTTATCTTCCCCAAATAGAATATAAACTCCACAAATGGAGGAATCCTATTTTATTCACTGCTATCTTTCCATTCTCAGTACAGTGCCTGCCACAAAATAGATGTTCAGAAATTGGTGCTCAGTGTTAAATAACTGAAAGTTTCAGAACAGAGATGCTCAGTTTCAGGCTGAGGTCTCAGGGACTAGCATATGCAACAGCCAGGTCTAGACCTCGACCAGTGTTTATTCCACATGCTCACTCTGTCTGGTTCAGAAGGTGAGGGGGACTCCCTAGCCAGCCACAGGAGCTGCCTGCTGCAATGTGTTTGGGGGGAAGAACACACGAATGTGCAAGTGGAATCCTTCTACGAGTTCTGAGCTCAAACAGCAACAACTCTTTGGCAGCACTGTTGACAGTCTCTGAGATTAAGGAAAGTAATTTGAGGGCATATGCTGCAGCTTTCCAGTTTTTAGACTAGCTTTAACTATTTTTCTTTCAGCTGTAGCTCTCTGGGATAATAAATGTACCATATGTCTGTATCCCCAGGTTCCCATACAAATTAGGAAACTAGAAATGTCCGATGATTAAAACAGATTTCTGCTTGTTTCCATGGGAAATCAACTGCTGGGAAACCTTAGGAAATGGGAGGGAGGGTGAGTTCAGTCTGGTGTTCTCTGGGGCGGGGCACACTGGCCCACAGCATGCAGGCTCCAGTCCACAGGCTGCTGGAAATTCGGGCCAGGAGAGATGTGTCCTACGCTGCCTATGCTGCAGGTCGCAAGTGAAACTGTGAAGGTCGGATGTCTGGTCTGACTCCTTTGGACCCCCCACCACCAGAGGGCTGGGCACTTCCTCCAGCCCCTCCAGTGTTAGATCCTCAACCCTCCATGCCAGCCAGCAAGAGCCCCTGTCAATGACAACAGGCCCCTTCCTGTGCAGTTCCTGTATGTTTTGAGCCCTCTAGCAGGTCTTCTGAGCAACAGAAATGCACCATCAAGGTGATGCCGGAATTGTCAGGCCTAGTCTCCCAGCCAGGAATGGATTCCAGGCTGCAGGGCAGCGCTGAGCCCCAGCCGCTAGACCCCCACGGGTTGGTGTCTCACGAAGCCGCAGTAGGAACTTCGCAGACGCTCAGGCAAGCAAGCGAGAAGAGGCAGTTTGTTTAGAAAAAGAAAAAGTTTATTGAGGAGAAAAAGAACAGAAATAAAGTGGGACTCCCAGGCCAGGGAACCAGGCCTGGGAGGGGCAAGGAAGCCAAAGTAGAGTCGTGTCTTAGGGAATATATACCTTTTTTCCCTCATTATTCTAAAGCTGCCCCAGTCTCTTTGTGATTGGTCAGTTCTCGGCTGTCTCACTCAATTTGTTACTGAGTGGGGATCTTTACATTCCTTATCTAACAGCTTTCTCTTTCCCCATTTGTTGCATCTTTAAATTTATGGCCCAGTCTTCTGGATGGGCATCCCTGCATTGAAGTTAAACAGCTGCCCTTCTAATGTGTCCATAAATTAAACCACTCTCCATTTCTCCAATCTCTGCCTCCCTTTACCACCTGAAGGAAACCAGGACCAGCATTAACAATGTTGTCCTTGGTCCTGGCATGTTTGTTTTTCCTAATGGAATTGGTTATATTTCTTTGGTTGTCCTTATCTCTGAAGCCTCCCTAAATTCTTCAGAGATCCCCTCCTGCACTGTCCCTAAAACTGCCTAATAACCCTAGCTTGCCCTGTCTCAAAGGATTCTCACAGGAAGAGTCACTATTGGCTATTTATGACTATATTGAGGATTTAATTCAGAGGTGAGGAGAATCTGTAAACAGAGCCAAGCATACCCTGGGCAGCTGTGCCAAGGCTCTCCAGGAGGATGTGATTTTTCGTTATTCCTACCTGCCGCAGAGTTAGCACCAACTTGCCTAAAGTAGAGGATACAGAGAGTAAAGGCTGCAAAAAAGATTTTAGTGCTGCCTTGCCAGTGGAAACCTCTGACTTTGGAGAAATTTGGCTCAGGAACTTACTCTAGCCTAAGGTGAGGTTTAAATTTCTCTGAGGTGAGGGGATGGGAAGGTGAAAGATAATCTGTCTCTGCTTTTCTAACCTGAAATATGTCTCAGGCTTGCCAGAGTGAGAACCAAAGGTGGAAACTC